CCCCAAAACCCCAAAACCCCAAAACCCCTCAATTAAAAATTCTTAATGATCAAAGCTAATATTCACATTAAACAGCAAAATTTAGTCTTAACATTTTTGCTATATGTCTTTTGTTTGATAATTTCTGGGTATTCAATTTATGTATACTTTTAATGCAGACTAGATTGTGCTGATGCCCAGTGTTAGTTCCATATATTGCCAAGCATAAAATTCAACGCCAAGTTCCTTCATCTTACCTTTGTTTTCAGAGACTTCAGACCGATCACAGTGATGATCAATTATGGCTTCATCGTCACTTATGAAGACAGTTAAGCACTAGTACACCTATTCTTATTGGCATTCCTAAAGATTCTAGAAGTTCTGATATCAGGGAGCTTGGAGACTCTATTGTACATCGAGAAATATGGAAAAGCAAACTATAGTGCTAGTTTCAATAGGCTAAATCTAACCTCAACAGTCAATGATATAATTCGAAGCCAACAATTATTGCATATTTAACGGTTCTCCAAGTGTTGGGTAATATTGGTATCGTTATCATACAAACTCACCACCTAAAACTCTAAATCCTTCAACCTACCATTCTCTAAAATCTCCTTTAAAAATCCATTAAGACCAAACTTCCATATAAGCTCTTCCGCTTGAGTTATCAAAACTACATGCTAGTACTAAAATGAAAACTAGTTAACACCTTTTAAGGGCTACTTCTGTGCTGAAGACTATTAATTTAGCACTGCTTGTAAGGGAAGGCGGTCGTAATGGATGTAGTAGCTGTGGTAGTGAATTTTGGAGATGATATTGATGGACTAGCACATTTACTATGGTCTTATTTGGTCTTTTTATTGCATAGTGCTTTGTTTCATTCTTCTTCAGGGAAGGGGATTTTTTCAGACTTAAGAAATAACCATACTGGGATTGGTAGTTTTTACGTTCAGAACTGTTGTTTCAGGTGCTAGTGTCTTGGTGATTGGAATAAGCTCTGTGATCCTTTTCAAAGCATATCAATTAGATGAAGCCGCTGAATTCTTGCTATATTTCTTAATCCTTTATGTTTTTGGATTCTCAGGAACTGTGATCTTCATCTCTCTGCTCTTACTCCTAGCCTTTGGGATGGAATCTCTAAGAATGATAATGGTTCTTCAGACTCCAGGAAATATGGAAGTTCCAATGATGTACAATTTCCAGCCAAATCTGAAATTTATTCAAAAACCCCAAGATTGTGGCTCCTTGCTTGTATACTTTCCAGCATCAAAGCCAACTCCGGATTGCTTTATTTTCATCTTTGCTGTAGGAAACTTCAGACTGGTGGTAGTGACTGTAGGCTATATCCTCATCGCCACTTATGAAGGCAGTAAAGATCAAATGCATCTGTTCTTCTTGTCTAAGATAAAATTCCTTGATATCTAATATTAATAATCCTAGAATTTTACAGTATAAACAAAATTCCAATAAAAATCACCATGAATCTCTTGCCTTAAAGCCCTCCTATTAACTTTCATTCTTAGATTTATCTCTTAATCTCTCACATCAGTTTCTTCGGCACAATTACTCAAACTCCACCATACATTCAGCTTTGTTCAATGCCCCAATTAGCTACAGGCGAAGTAGCCAGAAGTGATTCTAGGAATTCCGAAAGCAAGAAATTAGATCAACCAATATTTTCTAACCAGATTTGTTGAAAGTTATATGAAAGGATATTCCAATAAAAATTATCTATATTGGGGTTTTGGGGTTTTGGGGTTTTGGGG